GGGGGATGTTTTACCAAGTGAACAGAAAATTTTTTCTATGAAAAAAAATAGTAAAAGAAATAAAACAATCAAGATTACGAATTACTTTGCAAGTACTATTAAATAACATTAGTTTTTGAGGACGGACATTATCTATGTACTCAGCATAAACTACACCAGCATACAAATTACATTGGTATCGAGAGTCTTCTCTGTAAGAATTGATCATAGACATTCAGCATCATGGTCATTTGTCTCCTCTTGTTATAAAAACTCTTAGGATTAGTTGTAGGTCATTTGAAGAGACATTGTTTATTACTGTCCTATATTTCTAGGCGACAGCAGCCATTAGGTGGACCGACCGCAGACATATGACCAGAAATATGTTAAACTTGGCTACACCAATCCACAGAAACGTCGCCTCCCCCGCCAATTCCCCAAAAGAAACATCCCAACTATCTGTGTGACAGACATGATATAAAGTAAATGTTAGGTGGCATGGAACAAAATGATATTAAAATGCTACTGATTTGCTTTTCATTAGGTTAATACTAAAATATGAGCACTGTACAGGAGGATGACAAAACACAACCTCCAGACAAGAAAAGCACAGAAACGTCAAGTGACTTCCCAGATCAAGGTACGATAACATCAGGACAAACAGAACACGTTGTAAACCAGCATCTTTCTGGGCCTTTTTTACAACTCAAACATGACACAGAAACTACTGAAGCATTATATAGTGAGGTAAATGTTATTAACAGAAGTGGGCAAATAATTTAATTTTCATTTTAACGATGGATGATTACATGTCTATCAATATATATTATCTTCATAGTTAAATGCGAATATACGAAAGTCAATCAAGTATGCTTTGATTACCCTTTGTAAAGAAGATTTACATGTAGAACAATTGAGATAGAACGCACTCACTTATCAACATTTATCGCAAAGGCGCTTAGCAAATTTTTCAAAGTAATTCGACAGATATTGATTCTTTTAATGACGCCATCATCCTTGTGTGATGTCGCATTGCAACTAAGCTAGTTGCCAGGCCCAACCTGGTATATTCAAATATCACGGTGTCTATTCCATGTGACGGTATGTGACCTACATGGGCAATAATCCAATAGGGTAGATGGTAAGTGAAATCGCGTGTGAAGAATGACATACTCTTCATCCCATAAAAGTAATAAAATATTAAATAGTTATAACAGAAAAGTGAAACCTGGATATGCTTTTGTATTGTTTAGTTCCTCTTCACAGATCACTAATTGGTATAGGCATCGTTTATATGGAATTACATCTTTTAAAATAGTATTGGTGTTGATTTTATTGACTTTAATTTTATAAAAAAAAGTGACACATTGTTATATTACCTGAACAATTAGTTTTTCTATTGCCTTTTGGCAAGAAGTACAATTAAAGTGATTAAACATTTTGTATGGAAGTCAAAATACTTTTTTGTTTATAGTTTGCTACTTTCACAGTAAGCGCTACTTCCTTCTTGTAACAAGTATCTTCTTAATTTCAAAGCCATTATATATCTTTATCATATTCATGTATACTCTTTCTAAAGAAAAAAACAACATAACAATTATTTCTTTTTGAGGCCTAATGTGCCGTAAAAAAGACAATTCGCATGGACTTAAAGTTTAAAATAATTGTGTTCATGTGTTTCTTTCAGAGAGAACCTGTAGCCCTAAGTGATGATCTTATGACTCATGGACATTATGAAAGACAAAAAGGGAACCAACAGCTTCAAAATAATAAAGTAGGTTACTTTTTTTTCAAAAGTGATATGTACAACAATAATGAGAAATAATATTTTAAATCATAGCTAGTCTATCACAAACGTAACCACCAACTGACTTTAATCAACGCAATTTTCTGGACAATGTTTAAGTAATTTCTTGCATATAAGACAGGATTATCTATCGTTTATATCGGTGCTAGAAAATCCTGTCTAACACCTTCATGTTAGACAGGTCGCCTGCTTTAAATGACGTCATTGCCGCGTGCCTTTTATGAATGAATTGCGTTCTTTGGATGACGTCATTTTACCTTTATGAATGAAGTTGTAAGTTCACACGCTACTATAAGAAAAAAGTGCGTAATGAGAATATCAGTTTCCGCAATTTCTGTTCTGAAAATAATTCATATGTAATATGCAAGAAAAAGAATCAAACACCTGCTGTCGGTACAGACGGGAACATTTACCTCTCGGGTAACTGTTTAGCGGAAACTCGGCAGAGCCTCGTTACCGCGGTAAACAGTTACCCTCGAGCTAGATTTCCGGTCCGTACCGGCAGCCGGTGTAAGATTCTTATAGTTTCAATATAATGTCCATGTCTTTGTTAATGTTAATATACATTTTTCAGCAAAGTGAAAACAGACAAAAAGAAGAGAGTAGACATTCTGAGATCCCCACTCTGCAACACAAACAGGCCAAGGTAGTTATACAAGTTATTTGTAATTTTGCCTAACAACTAGAGAACTATCTGACCAGAATAAAAGTGTAAAAACTTTAATCATTTTTAACACTCTTAGGTTATTTTTTTATCTTTTGTGTTTTATTAATTCATTTTTAGTTATGCATGCGGTTTTTATAAAAGGAAAGTACAGAGATAGCTTTTATGTACAAAGAACATATGATGATATTCAGGTCACTTTGCTTATTAAAATTCTTACTTTTTTCTATAAGATGTATATGTACCTTTTTCCTTATTTAAAAACACATAACATATATCAGTTTCTAAATGACTTTGATAACGGTTACAACCCAGTAAATGTAAGAGCTAGGGGGCAAATGTGTCATTTAGATATTCCTTGTTAATGTAAATATACATTTTTCAGCAAAGTGAAAACATATTAAAAGAAGAAACTGTACAATATGAAATTCCTTTACAGCAAAATACAAATGATACGGTAGTGGTAAGTATCAATCTACTTGAAATTAGCAAGAAAAAATAGGCTTTGATAGGCCACCTTTCCCTGACCTTTCAAACAATAATCATCCTCGAGACATGTTTGTGGATAAAATATGCTCACATATCCAGTCAACAATTCTGTCATTCCTTGGTAGAATAGAAAATGATTTTAGGTCGTGTCGAAAACCATGTTATTCTAGGATTTTTTTTAAATGTTTGTGTAAAACGTTTTGGAACATTAGGTTTATGTGTAGCACAAAAAAAGATTTCTTGTTAATGAAATATATATGTTTCCAGAAAAGTGAAAACAAATCAAAAGGAGAAACTGGACGATCTGAAAGCCCTTCCCAGCAAAAGGCACAGGATACGGTAGTGGTAAGTGCCAATCTGATTTAAATTAGCTCTTTATCAACAAAACACATTAGGATTTAATATGCACCAATTGTGACCTTTTAAACACCATCATTCTTGTATTGTCGCATTGTCACCCGGCGAGTAACATTTCCATGTTTCCAAATATCTCGGTGTCTATAACAAGTGACAGTATATAATCTACGTGAGCACAAAGCCAGTAAAGTAGTCGGTCCAAATTTATTTTATTCCATACATTTTTACATGTTTCATTATTTCTAATAAGATAGTGTAGAACCATCATATAAAAAGATAACACACACATAGAATGTTTGAATGTCTCTGACCAAAAAGTTTTAATTGTAAACGAAGATTGTGTAAATAAAATTTCACAATGTCTGATATAAAATTACTGTAACGAAACACGAATTTCAAATAAGGCCGCCGATTTTTAAAGTAAATCAGACATTCAATTATTCGAGTTAATACTCTATAAAGAACTGCATTGTAAGCAAATAAATAAAAAATGCAAAACAGACTAAAATCCAGTCCTATTACATCAATTACCTTAAGAAATGTCTTCACAATTTTCTGCTATATATTTTATACTTTTATTATGTATAAATTATTTACTTTTAAATTATTCACATGCCGTATTTTGATCAATGTAAAAACTTGTCCCCCCCTGCAATTCTATGGTCTGCTGTTATAGGACAATAAAATTGATATTTGTAGCCAAAAGGATCTGACTTCCTGTTGCGAAATATGTAACGCAATTTCATACTCGTATTGATTAGAGTTTTCACAAGTTTATAGTGGCCACATACTTTAGGGAGTCAATCATTCATTGATTAATTTTGAAATCAATTCAAGTTATATATTATTCGGATTTATTCTTTTTCCATTGGTTATTAGAAAAAGAGCTGAATTAACCACACCTGTCCAACTTTATTGCATAATGATTCTGTTACACCCAATGACATGTTATGTAATCATCCAATCTAAAATCATAATATTTCATTGATTCTTTCAATATAATGTCTATATGTCTATATCAAGTTGATCATGTCTTTGTAAATGTTAATAAACACTTTTCAGCAAAGTGAAAATAGATCAAAAGAAGAGACTAGACAGCCTGTAGCTCTTACCCTGCAACACACACAGGAAACGGTAGATATATAAATTAGTCCTTTTCTTACCGGAACCGAAAGTAAAACTTTTTACTTCTGGCAGCCTTTTTTGTAGTCTAATATTGAACTTTCTAAAAAGTAAATAGACTGCTCTAAACCATTTTAAGAATCCTTTTAAGAAAATAAGCAACAACCTTAATGTATCTGATTTGAGATTTTTATATTATATTTAAAATAATAATAATATAATTTGCTTAACAATAGGAAATCACCAAAAACACTAAAATGGGTAAAATATAAGGATGTAAAACATGAAACCAAATGTTCAGATCTTAGATAATTATAGTCACGTAACATTGCCTTTTAGACCTCCAAACCATGACATCGTATGTCTCTTAGTTTACAAACACTTATATGATAAACATTTCGTATAATTACTCCTATAACCAAAAAGCTCATAGCTCAGATATTTAACAAAGGTGATATTGATAATGGCCCTAATGTCAAAATTGGCCCAGCCGTGGGATCAATGTAGACTTATGCAAAAGAAATACATATTTATTTTGGGAAGCTACAAAGCCCAGAGCTTAAATGTTTAGAATTGATAATTTTATTGTATACTCCTTCAATAGCCTTTATTATTAATGCATGTAGTGTAAAAGTTGTTGCCATCTTGGTGGTCAGTTTTATGCTCCCCGAAGTGAGAGCATATAGTCGCCTCTTTCCGTGTGTCTGTTCGTCTCTCCGTCCTTCCGTCTGTTCACCTGTTCGTCCGTTTTGACAGGAGCACAACTTGAAAACCCTTGGACGTATTTTTTTTAAACTGCGCACAGTGGTAGAGGGCATTAAGGCGGAGTGCAGTGCTAAAGAACCATACCTCTGCCTTGCCTAATTTTGCAGTTCTGGCCTTTCGCTCATTTTGTCATTTTGAACTTTGTCCGGGACATAGCTCTGACACTATAAGAGATATTAACAAGAAATGTTGTAGGTAGAAAGATTTCATTGAGTAGAATAGCAATGAAAAAAGAACCATAACTCTTTGGAGTTATTGTCCTTTGTTCTTTTTTTTTTCACTAGGAACATCGTCCGGGGCATAACTCTGAGTATAAGAGATATGATTATATAACTTTGTAGGAAGATTGATCTGCTCGTGTAGATATGCAGCTCAAAATAACTTTTACTCTGCCTAACCTGAACTTTGTCTGGGACATTACTATGAAACTACAATAGATATCAACAAGAACTAAGTCGGAAGATAGGTCTATTTAAGTAGCTATGCAGTGTAAGACAATAGCTTTGCCTAATTTTGAATTTTTGCACTACAACTTTGTCCGGAACATAACTCTGAAACCATAAAAGGTAGCAACAAGTACACTTTGTAAGTAGATAGTCATCATTAAATAGAAAAGCAAAACTACAAGGGGTCTAATTTTCTGTGTCCAAAACCTATTCGGGAAGCATCTCCGGTTCTTGTTTATTATTGAGATACTCAATATAAAACTATATTCAGACAAGTTTCCTTACTTGAAAGATACTTTGATTATGCTACAAATATTAATTCGGTTGTATATGCCAATGTTTTTGTGGTTTTCGTGTTTGGTCAATAGTAAAATAAAAAATCACTAAAGAACACGCAAAGCGGAAAAATTGAAAGTGTTGCAATATATACAATAATGTTGCAATGTAAACAATGGCACTAATTATGTCAATATCAATTTTACAATGATAATATATATTTCTTTTCAGCAAAGTGACAACAGATCAAAAGAAGAGACTGAACACTCTGAAAACCCTACCCTGCAACATATACAATATACGGTAGATATCTATCATACATTTAAAATACAACACCGTTGTTGCTGGAACCGAAAATGACTAACCTTTGCTACAAGTTTGAAGCTATGTCAGCCTGCATATCCTAAAGAAGATATATAAACTATGCGTTTCTTTGGGAGGGGTGCCATATTATTTTATGCGGATTATATTTTGGTTCATATGTGAAGGAATCTATAGGCTTATCCCTGACGTCGTTAAAACCCACGCTGCTAGAAATATTTACAATACGAGTTCAAGCGTTAATCACTCGACCATGCAATAAACATAATAAAGTAAAAATAATTTAGTCAATATTTATTTTATCATGTTATTAGTTTGCATTCTTTTAAAAAAAAGAGGATTAAATGTTGTGCAATGTTGGTTGGTCTCTCGGTTTGTTGGCCTGTCGGTAGACCACGTGGTTTCTGCTCAATAAGTTGAGAACCATTTGACCCAGAGCTTTCAATTTTTTAGGATGCTCATCCTTATTGAGAAGTAGTTCTTAACTTCATGGGATGATAACCCTTATTTATTAGAAGACCTTGGTAGTGTCCTGGCGTACTTTAACCAGCGGGGATATTACTTTTACACTCCGTCTGTCTGTCTGTCCGTCTGCCCGACTGTCCGTCCAAACTATGAATCTCGTGATAACGCAAAAAGTACTGAAAAGATTACTATTTGTGTAAATGGCAGTCTGGAGATAATGCAGGTCGTTTTATGTCTTCCTGTGGTGAAAAGGTTTGTTGCTATTGCAGCAAATAGACATTAAATATAGCATATTTAACACGGAAACTGGATCACGTGATACGCAAAAAGTACTGACATTTTTTCAATCAAACTTGAAATATGGCAGTTTGGAAGTCATGCACGTCTTCTTTTATACTTTTTATTTCGAAAAATTGGGTTGCTATGGTACCAAATAGACTAAAAATATGCAAATGTTTGTAATAACTCAAAAAGTGCTGAAAATGTTTTTTTATGAAACATGAACAATGATTAGATGGAAGTATAGATAGTATGTACAATATTTTAAGCCCGACTATAGGGAGTAAATTCAGGGCTGTCGAACCCACATTCGCGCCGGCAACCACTTCCAGATTTCTGATAACATTTTTTACACCGAATTTATTTTTACTATAAGTTTCTTAATTTTTAATTTATTTTCTTCAAACTTCAAATATATCTTTGTACTTCGCATAAAAAATGTGTGACAAAATTTAAAACTTTACTAAAAAAATGTTATATTCTGGTAACCACCACAGATGTTTAAATAGTTTCCCTCAGAGTGTCTGTCTGTTTGTCTGTCCATCCGTAAAACCGTTTCACTTTTAAAGAACTAAGACCTATTCTGACAAAATTACTAAAGATAGAGAAAAGTTGAGAAAATTGTTCTTTTTTTTTAAAATATTTGTTGTGTTAAACATCATTTTCCTTCCAAGCAGGGAAACTTAAAACATGACTATAATAAAGACAAACTAAGAACTCAAAAGTCCATTCATGTCTTCCACAATTGCATAATTGAATGGTCATGGTCATTAAAATTGTTGCTGAGGTTCTAACCGGTAGGGGACGTTTATATTTTTTGATAATTGCTTGTTGTTTTGGGGCGTTCTTGCTTGAAGGTCAAAGGCACAGTGATCAAAAAAATTCAAATTGTTGTGAAAACGTGTCCGCTCAATAATAAGAAAACCATTTGACATTTAAGCCTTTCAACCTTACACAGTCATCACTTTGCATTGATTCAATAACACTAATTATAATTTGCACAAATTCATGGTCAGAATAAATGACTTTACTATAAAACCTAAACTCAATAACTGGAGAACACACAGGTTCTTTTGTTTTGAGCACCGTGCATAAAGGTCGACGTCAAAGTGACCCTGACTGAAATTTTTTCTGCTTAATAGATTAAGTACAACAATATCAATCATTGTTATCTTAAAAATATATTATAACTCTTTGCTAACATTTGTTGTATATCTATAAGATATTAGATTAAATGAATATAAAAAATTGTCATTTTTATTGATATGCCCTTGCGGCATTTGCAGCTTAACTATCCGTGATTGAAAGACTTTATATGGATTGGTTGATACATTGCACAGAATAAAAAAGTCCATCACTTTTAACACAGTTACGTTACTCACTTTTTTTGATCTTTTGTGTTTAATTCATTCATTTTTAGTTAAGCATGATTAAAGCAAACTTCAGTCATAGTTATTTATTTACATAGGGAATATGATTATATGCAGATGTGTTTATCAATAATTTTGTAAATGTTTGCACTAGAAATGCTTATAATTGTTAAACTTCTTTTTATCTTGCCATTTCTATAAACATTATGCCTTTTTCCTGATTCATAAACACATACATGCTATTATCAGCTTTTATGTGACTTTTATATAGTTACTACCAATTAAGGTAACAGGGAGGGGGCAAATTTGTCATTGAGATATTCTTGTTAATGTTAATGTACATTTTTCAGCAAAATGAAACAAGATCTAAAGAACAAAATGGACAATCTGAAAGCCCTTCTCAGCAAAATACTCAGGGTACGGTAGTGGTAAGTGCCATTCTGATTAAAATCAGCTCTTAATTAACGCTACGCACGAGAATCTGATGGACAGTAATAAGTCACTCTCTTGTGACCTTTAAAACAGCCATTATCCTAGTCGTATATGCAACTAGCGGATTGCAATTTCCAACAAATGAACTATACTGCAGCCAGTATGTGGTCGGTTGGTTAGTCGGGCGGTCAGTTGCAGAAAGGAGATATCAACTTCAAATTTTGTTAGTAGATAAATCTGAATGATTGGAGGTGCGGTATATAAGACACGTAAACTATCCTTTCCTACATGAAAACTATTGAGAGTATCAACTTGAAACCTTGTAGTAAGAAAGATCTCACTTAGTAGAAGTGCAAATAACCGTAACCCTACCTACCCTTATTTTGGAGTTATTTCCCTTTTTCATTTACACACTTTGTCCAGAACTATAAAAGATATCAACACGAAACTTTGTAGGTAGATAGATCTTAATGAATAGAAGTACAGAAATTTCAGGGAGAAAGAACCTATTGCCTTTAAAAGTCATAATTAGTCCAAATTCAAACTTTATATTATGTTATTGATGAACAAATAACTCAAAACATTTGAAAAAATTCTATAAACAACTGAATTCTCCCTGTGTGCAAATTAACTTACTAAAGAACGTTTTCTGACAAGGGCATGTCGGGGGTATTCGGCACTTGTGACAGCTATAGTGTTCTTCCATATCTTTTTTAAAGCCTCCAGAGGATGACAGAAAAACGACTTTCTTATTAACATTTCTTTCCTCAAAAAACATTAGTTGATTATGTTTGCTTTTCGGCCATCGGGGAACTCCTTTTATCATACTGCGGAATTCTTTCATCCTGGTTTATTCTAGATCCACGTGACTGTGCAAGACAATATCGCAATCTGTGATCCGGAACCCAAGGAATCGGGGAAAATATCAAACTAAAAGAGAGACAAATAAACTGCAATGGTTTTGATATTTGTAGTAATTTGTGGCACTTAAATTATAATTAATCAATTATATCATTTATATGATGAACAATATACCGATTTAGAATATATCTTGATATATGATTAGGGCTTTCTCTTCGACGAAAATTGATACACGACCACGGGATTACCGTATATCAGGATTTTTTCTAGACAACTGTTGTGACACGTGACCATGTTGAATGAATTATATTCTTTATATTGTCTGCTGCGTAAGTAACGTAGTAGTTTTTGCAATGAAGAAGCACGGGATAATGACGCTTTGTTGATATGCCAGTAATTTAACAGAAATAGAAATTATCGTTAACTTAAGTTTTTTTTTTCATTTTATTCATTTAACCATCCGGAGACTATTTGCTTTAATTATGACATAGAGGATCATTTTAAAATACATGAATTCAATCATCACGATTTTCTGCAATGCAATATAATTCTATATCAATTTTATTATGTCTTTGTTAATGTTAATATACATTTTTCAGGAAAGTGAAAACAGACAGAAAGAAGATACAGGACAGCCTGAAGACCATGCAATGCAACACACAAAGGACACGGTAGATATATAAATTAACCCTATCCTGTCGGAACCGAAAATGACTTGCTTTTTCACAAATATGGACTCTTTACTGCTGGCAGTAATTTATTATAATAATATTGTTATTATTATTATTATTATTTATTATTATATTGAAATTCATTAAACTTAATAACTAGACCGTTCTTAACACACATATAAGCTATCATATTTAAGACATCTAGTAACAACTTTAATTGCTAGATCGAAATCACTAAAACTCAAGAAGGGCAAATTTTATATGCTGTAAAATAATAAAACAAAAATAATCAGCTATTAGATATTTGCCATACGCCGATTTTCGTGGAATGGCATGTAATTGTCACATTGAAGGTTCCATGATGTCCAACGTATGAACACATCTGCGGATGTTCCTAAATTCAGAATTTCACTTTTTTCCTGTTTAAATGTGGAATGCTGCTTAAGCCTGTGCAAGGGGCATAGACGGTAATTTGCACTTTCTAATACTGTCCATTGGCGAGCTCAACATAATCGAGCCTGCAACAAGGCTGCTTTCGGTTTTGTACGTTCTTTAGGTATTACGTTTTCTTCAATTCCTATATGTTTTGTCTGAAAAATAAGGACATTACCTCCCCGTTTGTTACGTTAATATGATTCCTACAGGAAAGAAAAACCAAATCGAAAGAAGGGCCTGAACCATATGGAACCCCTTTCCGGCAGTATGCACAGGCTTTGGTAGATATTTAAGCTTTTTTGACGTTTCAGATCAGAGTCAAAAATCCATATCCAATATACAATTATTTATGAGGCTTACTTATTGACGGACATTGATATACGACCCCGGGGTTACCGGATATCAGGATTTTTTTCTGGACAACTGTTGTGGCACGTGCCCATGTTGAAGGAATTATATGCTTTATATTGGTGCTGTGTAAGTTGCGTGGTAGTTTTTGCAAGGAAGAAGCATGGGATATTGACGCCTTTTTTTTAGATGCTATTAATTTACACATTAAACCTAACTGAATAGAAATTTCTTTTTATTTAAAGTTTTATTTCATTTTATTCATTTAACCATTTACAGACTATTGGCTTTAATAATGACATAGAAGATCATTTAAAAAAAAAGATTTCAATTTGTTTTCTTTCAGAAAGAATCAGTAGTCCTTAGTGAAGATATCAGGACGCATGACCATTATGAAAGAACAACAGAGAACCAACATTGTCCAAATGATATGGTACGTTACGTTTTTCAAATAAAGTATGCACAACAAAAACAAGAAATACTGCTGTTTTTATTCATATCCTATCTATCTGATCATCAAGCATTACCACACGTTAACTTTAATCATCACGATTTTCTGGATTTCGGGACAATGTATGCAATACAATATAATTCTATATCAATGTTATCATGTCTTTGTTAATGTTAATATACATTTTTCAGGAAAGTGAAAACAGACAGAAAGAAGAGACTGGACCACCTGAAGCCCCTACAATGCAACGCACACAGGACACGGTAGATATATAAATTAACCTTTATCCTGTCGGAACCGAAAATGGCTTGTTTTTTCACAAATATGGGCTTTTTACTGCTGGCAGTAATTTATTATAATAATATTGAAATTCATTAAACTTAATAACTAGACCGTTCTTAACACATACAAAAGCTATTATATTTAAGAAATCTAGTAACAACTTTAATGTGCTAGATCGAAATCACTAAATCTCAAGAAGGGCAAAACTAACATGCTGTAAAATAATGAAACAAAAATAATCAGCTCTTAGATATTTGTTATAGGCCGATTTTCATGGAATGGAATGTAAGTGTCACATCGAATGTTCCATGATGTCCACCGTATGAACACATCTGCGGATGTTTCTGAATTCAGAATTTGAATTTTTTCCTGTTTAAATGGGAATGCTGCTTAAGCCGGTGCAAGGGACATGGACGGTAACTTGCACTTTCTAGTACCGTCCAAGAACAAGCTCAGTATTATCGAAGGGCGTCGGTGATCTTGACTTCAAACCACTTGCCACTCACTGCTCTGGGTTCGAATACCGACACGGACTTATGCCACTTTTCATGGAATGGCACTACCGTGTCACATTGAAGGTTCCATGATAACCGCAATATGTACACATCTGCGGATGTTTCAAAATTCTAAATTTTAACAGTTCATGTTAAATGTTGAATTCTGTTTAAGCCGGTGCTAGGGGGCGTGGACGGTAACTTGCACTTTCCAGTACCGTCCATGAACAGGCTCAATCAAACCGAGCCTGCAACTTTTCAATTTTGCCGTGTTGGGCTTTCTTTAGGGATTCTGTATTTATCTATATTATTTGGATTCTTTCATGTGAGGAAGCTATGCAGCTACCTTACGGAACGTCGGTGGTTCTACGCAGGTGCCTGTTCGTGCCTGAAATAATGCTCGGAAGGGCACGTGAGTTCTTCCTCCACCAGTAAAGCTGGAACGTCTCGATATGACATATACAGTGTCGATGTGACGTAAAACCCAATCAAACAAATCAATATAATCGAGCCAGCAACATGCTGCTTTCAGTTTTGTCATTTTGGGCGTTCTTTAGGTAATCTGTTTTCTTCAATTCCAATATGTTTCTCTGAAAAATAAGGACATTACCTCTCTCTGTTTGTTACGTCAATATGCTTCCTTCAGGAAAGTAAAACCAGATCGACAGATGGGCCTGAACCTTATGGAACCCCTTTCCGGCAGCATTCACAGGCTATGATATATAATCAGGATTTATTTGACGTTTAAGATCAGAGTCAAAAAATCCATATCCAATTCATTTTGTTCTCTATACAATTATTTATGAGGGCTTATTCAATGACGAACATTGATATACGACCCTGGGAGTACTGGATATCAGGATTTTTCTGTACAACTGTTGTGGCACGTGACCATGTTGAATGAATTATATACTTTATATTGGCTGCTGCGTAAGTAACGTAGTAGTTTTTGCAAAGAAGAAGTACGGGATATTGACGCTTTTTTAGATAACATTAATTTACACATATAACCTAACTAAATAGAAATTACTTTTTATTTAAAGTTTTATTTCATTTTATTCATTTACCAATTTGAAGACTATTGGCTTTATTAATGACATAGAAGATCATTTTAAAATACATGATTTCAATTTGTTTTCTTTCAGAAAGAATCAGTAGTCCTTAGTGAAGATACCAGGACGCATGAACTTTATGAAAGAACAACAGAGAACCAACATTGTCCAAATGATATGGTACGTTACGTTTTTCAAATAAAGTATGCACAACAAAAACAAGAAATACTGCTGTTTTTATTCATACCCTATCTATCTGATCATCAAGCATTACCACACGTTAACTTTAATCATCACGATTTTCTGGATTTCGGGACAATGTATGCAATACAATATAATTCTATATCAATTTTATCATGTCTTTGTTAATGTTAATATACATTTTTCAGGAAAGTGAAAACAGACAGAAAGAAGAGACAGGACAGCCTGAAGACCCTGCAATGCAACACACACATGACACGGTAGATATATAAATTAACCCTTATCCTGTCGGAACCAAAAATGACTTTCTTTTTCACAAATAAGGGCTCTTTACTGCTGGCAGTAATTTATTATAATTATATTGTAATTATTATTATAATATTGAAATTCATTAAACTTTATAACTAGACCGTTCTTAACATACACAAAAGCTATTATATTTCAGAATCTTGCAACAACTTTAATGTGCTAGATCGAAATCACTAAATCTTAAGAGGGGAAAACTATCATGCTGTAAAATAATGAAACAAAAATAATCAGCTCTTAGATATTTGCTTTATGCCGATTTTCGTGGAATGGAATGTAAGTGTCACATCGAATGTTCCACGATGTCCACCGTATGATCACATTTGCGGATGTATTTAAATTCAGAATTTCATTTTTTTTCCTGTTTAAATGGGAATGCTGCTGAAAGCCGGTGCAAGGGGCATGGACAGCTATACCTTGCACTCTCTTAGTACCGTCCATGAACAAGCTCAATATAATCAAAGGGCGTCGGTGGTCTAGCGGTTAAGGTCGTGGACTTCAAAAACCACTTGCCACTCACTGCTCTGGGTTCGAATACCGAAAGGGACTTTGGATTCTTTTATGTGTGGAAGCTATCCAGCTACATTACGGATCGTCGGTGGTTCTACTCAAGTGCCTGTTCGTGCCTGAAATAATGTACGGAAGGGCACCTGAGTTCTTCCTCCACCAGTAAAACTGGAACGTCTCGATATGACCTAAACAGTGTCGATGTGACGTAAAACCCAATCAAAGAAATCATTATAATCGAGCCAGCAACAGGCTGCTTTCAGTTTTGTCATTTGGGCGTTCTTAAGGTATTCTGTTTTCTTCAATTCCAATATGTTTCTCTGAAAAATAAGGACATTACCTCTCCGTTTGTTACGTCAATATGTTTCCTTCAGGAAAGTAAAACCAGATCGAAAGATGGGCCTGAACCTTATGGAACCCCTTTCCGGCAACATGCACAGGCTATGATATATTTTTAAGCCTTTTTTGACGTTTAAGATCACAGTCAAAAAAATCAATATCCTATTCATTTTGTTCTCTATACAATTATTTATGAGGGCTTATTCAATGACGAACATTGATATACGACCCTGGGAGTACTGGATATCAGGATTTTTCTTGACAACTGTTGTGGCACGTGACCATGTTGAATAAATTATATACTTTATATTGGCTGCTGCGTAAATAACGTAGTAGTTTTTGTAAGGAAGAAGCACGGGATATTGACGCTTTTTTAGATGCAAATAATTTACACATATAACCTAACTAAATAGAAATTACCATTGACTTAAAGTTTTATTTCATTTTATTCATTTAACCATCTGGAGACTATTGGCTTTAATCATGACATAGAGGATCATTTTAAAATACATGGTTTCAATTTGTTCTCTTTCAGAAAGAATCAGTAGTCCTTAGTGAAGATATCAGGACGCATGAACATAATGAAAGAACAACAGAGAACCAACAGCTTCCAAATGGTATGGTAAGTTACGTTTTTTTTTAAAAAAAGATGTAAAACAAAAACGAGAAATACTGTTTTAATTTAATCATCACGATTTTCTGGATTTCGGGACAATGTATGCAATACAATATAATTCTATATCAATTTTATCATGTCTTTGTTAATGTTAATATACATTTTTCAGGAAAGTGAAAACAGACAGAAAGAAGAGACTGGACAGTCTGAAGCCCCTACAATGCAACACACACAGGACACGGTAGATATATAAATTATCCCTTATCCTGTCGGAACCGAAAATGACTTGCTTGTTCACAAATATGGGCTCTTTACTGCTGGCAGTAATTTATTGTAATAAAATTGTAATTATTATTATTATATTGAAATTAATTAAACTTAATAACTAGACCGTTCTTAACACACAAAATCTATTGTATTTAAGAAATCTAGTAACAACTTTAATTGCTAGATCGAAATCACTAAAAGTCAAGAAGAGCAAACCTAATATTCTGTAAAATAATGAAACAAAAATAATCAGATCTTAGATATTTGCCATACGCCAATTTTCGTGGAATGGCATGTAAATGTCACATTGAAGGTTCCATGATGTCCAACGTATGAACACATCTGCGGATGTTCCTAAATTCAGAATTTCACTTTTTTCCTGTTTAAATGTGGAATGCTGCTTAAGCCTGTGCAAGGGGCATAGACGGTAACTTGCACTTTCTAATACTGTCCATTGGCGAGCTCAACATAATCGAGCCTGCAACAAGGCTGCTTTCGGTTTTGTCATTTTGTACGTTCTTTAGGTATTACGTTTTCTTCAATTCCTTATATGTTTTGTCTGAAAAATAAGGACATTACCTCCCCGTTTGTTACGTTAATATATTCCTACAGGAAAGAAAAAAACCAAATCGAAAAGAAGGGGCCTGAACCATATGGAACCCCTTTCCGGGCAGTATGCACAGCTTTGGTAGATTATTTAAAGCTTTTTTTGACGTTTCAGATCAGAGTCAAAAATCCATATCCAATATACAATTATTTATGAGGCTTACTTATTGAGGACATTGATATACGACCCCGGGGTTTACCGGATATCAGGATTTTTTTTCTGGACAACTGTTGTGGCACGTGCCCATGTTGAATGAATTATATTGCTTTATATTGGGTGCTGTGTAAGTTGCGTAGTAGTTTTTTGCAAGAAGAAGCATGGGATATTGACGCCTTTTTTTAGATGCTATTAATTTACACATTAAACCTAACTGAATAGAAAGTTTTCTTTTTATTTAAAGTTTTATTTCATTTTATTTCATTTAACCATTTACAGACTATTGGCTTTAATAATGACATAGAAGATTCATTTAAAAAAAAAAAAAAGATTTCAATTTGTTTTCTTTTCAGAAAGAATCAGTAGTCCTTTAGTGAAGATATCAGGACGCATGACCATTATGAAAGAACAACAGAGAACCAACATTGTCCAAATGAAATGGTATGGTTTTTTCAAATAAAGTATCCACAACAAAAACAAGAAATACTGCTGTTTTTATTCATATCCTATCTATCTGATTATCAAGCATTACCACACGTTAATTTTTAATCATCACGATTTTCTGGGATTTCGGGACAATGTATGCAATACAATATAATTCATATATCAATGTTATCATGTCTTGTTAATGTTAATTTACATTTTTTCAGGAAAGTGAAAACAGACAGAAAGAAGAGACTGGACCACCTGAAGCCCCTACAAATGCAACGCACAGCAGGACACGGTAGATATATAAATTAAACCCTTATCCTGTCGGAACCGAAAATGGCTTGTTTTTTTCACAAATATGGGCTTTTTAACTGCTGGCAGTAATTTATTATAATAATATTGAAATTCATTAAACTTAATAACTAGACCGTTCTTAACACACACAAAAGCTATTATATGTTTAAAGAAATCTAGTAAACAACTTTAATGTGGCTAGATCGAAATCACTAAATCTCAAGAAGGGGCAAAACTAACATGCTGTAAAATAATGAAAAAAAAATAATCAGCTCTTAGATATTTGTTATAGGCCGATTTTCATGGAATGGAATGTAAGTTGTCACAATCGAAATGTTCCATGATGTCCACCGTATGAACACATCTGCGGATGTTTCTGAATTCAGAATTTGAATTTTTTTCCTGTTTAAATGGGAATGCTGCTTAAGCCGGTGCAAGGGACATGACGGTAACTTGCACTTTCTAGTACCGTCCAAGAAAACAAGCTCAGTATTATCGAAGTCGTCGGTGATCCTTGACTTTTCAAACCACTTGCCACTCACTGCTCTGGGTTCAAATACCCGACACGGACTTATGCCACTTTTCATGGAATGGCACTACCGTGTCCACATTGAAGGTTCCCATGATAACCGCAATATGTACACATCTGCGGATGTTTCAAAATTCTAAATTTTAACAGTTCATGTTAAATGTTGAATTCTGTTTAAAGCCGGTGCTAGGGGGCGGGACGGTAACTTGCACTTTCCAGTACCGTCCATGAACAGGCTCAATCAAACTCCGAGCCTGCAACTTTTCCAAATTTGCCGTGTTGGGCTTCTTTAGGGATTCTGTATTATCTATATTATTTGGATTCTTCATGTGGAAGCTATGCAGCTACATTAACGGAAACGTCGGTGGTTCTACGCAGGTGCCCTGTTCGTGCCTGAAATAATGCTCGGAAAGGGCACCCTGAGTTCTTCCTCCACCAGTAAGCTGGAACGTCTCGATATGACATATACAGTGTCGATGTGACGTAAAACCCAATCAAACAAATCAATATAATCGAGCCAGCAAAATGCTGCTTTCAGTTTTGTCATTTTTGTGCGTTCTTTAGGTAATTTTGTTTCTTCAATTCAATATAGTTTCTCTGAAAAATAAGGACATTACCTCTCTCTTTGTTTGTTACGTCAATATGCTTCCTTCAGGAAAGTAAAAAACCAGATCGAACAGATGGGCCTGAACCTTATGGAACCCCTTTCCGGCAGCATTCAGCTCAGGCTATGATATATAATCAGGATTTATTTGACGTTTAAGATCAGAGTCAAAAAATCCATATCAATTCATTTTGTTCTCTATAACCATTATTTTATGAGGGCTTATTCAATGACGAACATTGATATACGACCCTGGGAGTCTGGATATCAGGATTTTTTCTGTACAACTGTTGTGGCACGTGACCATGTTGAATGAATTATATACTTTATATTGGCTGCTGCGTAAGTAACGTAGTAGTTTTTTTGCAAAGAAGAAGTACGGAGATATTGACGCTTTTTTAGATAACATTAATTACACCATATAACCTAACTAAATAGAGAAATTACTTTTTATTTAAAGTTTTATTTCATTTTATTCATTTACCAATTTGAAGACTATTGGATTTATTAATGACATAGAAGATCATTTTAAAATACATGATTTCAATTTGTTTTCTTTCAGAAAGAATCAGTAGTCCTTAGTGAAGACATCAGGACGCATGACCATTATGAAAGAACAACAGAGAACCAACATTGTCCAAATGATATGGTACGTTACGTTTTTCAAATAAAGTATGCACAACAAAAACAAGAAATACTGCTGTTTTTATTCATACCCTATCTATCTGATCATCAAGCATTACCACACGTTAACTTTAATCATCACGATTTTCTGGATTTCGGGACAATGTATGCAATACAATATAATTCTATTTTATCATGTCTTTGTTAATGTTAATATACATTTTTCAGGAAAGTGAAAACAGACAGAAAGAAGAGACAGGACAGCCTGAAGACCCTGCAATGCAACACACACATGACACGGTAGATATATAAATTAACCCTTATCCTGTCGGAACCAAAAATGACTTTCTTTTTCACAAATAAGGGCTCTTTACTGCTGGCAGTAATTTATTATAATAATATTGTAATTATTATTATAATATTGAAATTCATTAAACTTTATAGCTAGACCGTTCTTAACATACACAAAAGCTATTATATTTCAGAATCTTGCAACAACTTTAATGTGCTAGATGATCGAAATCACTAAATCTTAAGAGGGGAAAACTATCATGCTGTAAAATAATGAAACAAAAATAATCAGCTCTTAGATATTTGCTATATGCCGATTTTCGTGGAATGGAATGTAAGTGTCACATCGAATGTTCCACGATGTCCACCGTATGATCACATTTGCGGATGTATTTAAATTCAGAATTTCATTTTTTTTCCTGTTTAAATGGGAATGCTGCTGAAGCCGGTGCAAGGGGCATGGACAGTACCTTGCACTCTCTAGTACCGTCCATGAACAAGCTCAATATAATCAAAGGGGCGTCGGTGGTCTAGCGGTTAAGGTCGTGGACTTCAAACCACTTGCCACTCACTGCTCTGGGTTCGAATACCGAAAGGGACTTTGGATCCTTTTATGTGTGGAAGCTATCCAGCTACATTACGGATCGTCGGTGTTTCTACTCAAGTGCCTGTTCGTGCCTGAAATAATGTACGGAAAGGGCACCTGAGTTCTTCCCTCCACCAGTAAAACTGGACGTCCGTATATTGACTAAACAGTGTCAATTGTGACGTAAACCGCCATCAAAACAATCATTATAATGCTGAGCCAGCAACAGGCTGCTTTAAAGTTTTGTCATTTGGCGTTCTAGGTATTTGTTTCTTCAATTTCCAAATGTTTCTCTTGAAAAATAAGGACATTACCTCTCGCTTGTTTACGGTCAATATGTTTCCTTCAGGAGAAGTAAAAACCAGATCGAAAGATGGCCTGAACCTTTGGAATCCCCTTTCCGGGCAACATGCACAGCTATGATATATTTTTAAGCTTTTTTGGACGTTTAAGATCACAGTCAATAAAATCAATATCCTAATTCATTTTTGTTCTCTATACAATTATTGTAGAAGTGCTTATTCCATGACAAATTGGATATACGACCCTGGGCAGTAACTGGATATCAGGATTTTTCTTTGACAACTGTTGTGGCACGTGACCATGTTGATGATATATAATATATACTTTATATTGGCTGCTGCGTAAATAACGTAGTAGTTTTTTGTAAAGGAAAGAAGCGCGGGATATTGACGCTTTTTTTAGATGCCAAATAATTTCACATAAATAACTCTAACTAAATAGAAAATTACCGGTTTACTTAAAGTTTTATTATCATTTTAATTCATTGTTAACCATCTGGAGACTATTGTGCTTTAATCATGACATTAGAGGATCAATTTTCAAAATATCATGGTTT